ACTTGTAGTATAAATAGGCTTCCCTCATCCAAGGCATCGTCAAGTTATCAACCTCAACAAAGCAAAAATTGCTCCCAAGTTTATCTGCAAAATAATCAAAATTAAAAACGGTTTAATTAAAATAAATGCACTAAATTGTAATAAATTAAAAATTGAATCTCATCTGCACTAATAAATTACCGGAGGATTTCATCGAGTAAGGCGCGGGCCGAAAAATCTCGACCCGAAAGCCCGAATTGATCTTCTCCCAAACCTTGACCTCATAGAGCCGCGAGTCGCCGGAATCCTCTCCGGCCGCCACCGTCATGTAGTACATGGCGCCGGCCGTGGGTTCCACGTTGAGGTTCACAATCTTCAAAAACTCGAGAGTGCTCCCGAGGCTTTTTCGGTTGTGTTCCTCCACCGCGTGCCTGGCGGCAACCTCCGCCTTCCGGTGGATTTCTTCGCCGGAGAATTCTCCGAGCATCGGCCGGATGCATCCGAAAATAACCGAACCGTCGCGTGTGGGGGTTACGTAGAAGCCCTCGCTATTGTTGACGTCGTCCATGTACTCGTGGTAGGCATCGTTGACCGCCATTGACCGATATTGGAATAATGTTTGTGTTTTATTTTGGGAAGAAAAAATTAGTTGTATGCAATATTATGAGGTTAATTTAAAGGGTATATATAGTGGGGAGTTTGTATATTAGGAGTTGCCTTGGGAAGAAAGGAATGTAATTAAGTTGTGTGAGGTTTAGGTTTAGTTAGCGTGCAAGATTTTTGGTTAGTAATAGGAAAGGAAAGGTTGTTTATGTATTATTTACGTAGGAATTGTATTTACTTAACTTTTAATAGAATAAAAGTTGAGGAAAATGGCGCTACAGTCCCGTTACGGAACTATTTCGTCGGGATTTGTAATTGTTAGTCGTTGATAGTTGATCTAATAGTTACAAACTCTGACAGAATTATTCCGTAACAGGACCGTAGAATTTCCCTCAAAGTTATACTTGAACTATACCTAAAGGGACTAGTAAAAGGAAAGTGTGTTCGAAAATGTGTATTATGTATTGTGTACGTTTGTTATGTAATTGAAGTTGATTTAGGGAAAAAAAAATATATATATAATATGTACAATTAATTGGCCGTTTTCTTTTTTTGTCCACTACTTGTTGAGATTGTAATTTTGGTATGTAAAATTTAATTTTTTGTCCATTGTCTAAAAAAAATTATAACAGCATAAATATTGAGACTGTAATTTGGTATGTAACTTTTAATCTTTTGTCCATTGTGTAAAAAAAGATTTTCAGCGACCAAATGTCCGTTGTTACTTGTTAAGGTGAAGCTGCCATTTGAAATATTGTGAAATAATATTTGTAGAAATGTAAGATTTGAAAAAATCAGATAGAAGGAAATACCGAACTGAACCGAAATTCGGATCTGTTAAGTGCAGTTTTTCGGCTTCAGCTCGGTTTTGCTCACCCCTACAAACAACCGTAAATTTTGAGACTTTCGAGTTGTTCAACGACGATTGTCGTGGATCAGAAAGTCATATGATAAAATCAAAAAGTCCGTTGGATATATCGGAAAAATATCTTCTACTTGATATATCCTGAAAAATAATTTTTTTTGTTCTTTTTTTCGTAACGATAGACAAAAAAATGACTATTGAAATTGACACAAGGAGAAAACAAAACAAAAAAAAAAAAAAAAAAAA